CGCGCCCAGGGGGTGTGGGGGGGGGCGAAGAGCAAAGGGGAAGCATCCCCTGCCTCCAGCTGCTGGCCCCACTGCTGGGGCTGCAGCCCAGGGGACGCTTGGCTTTCTGGGCTGCCAGTGCCCATTGCTGGCTGATGGCCCATTTGTCACCCATCAGTATCCCCAGTCCTTCTCCGCAGGGTGCTCTCCATCTGTCCATCCATCCACCCACCCACCCATCCATCCGTCCGTCCATCCATCCATCCGTCCCTCCCTCCCTCCCTCCCTCACCCAGCCTGTGCTGGTACCAGGGGTTGCCCTGACCCAGGTGCAGGACCTTGCCTGGTTGAACGTCACAAGGTTCTCATGGCCCCACTCCCCCAGCCTGCCCAGTCCCTCTGGATGCCTCCCTTCCCTCCAGAACATCGACGGCACTGCTCAGCTCAGTGTCATCCGCATTTCTCAGGGTAGCTCCATTTTTTCCCAGACTTTTGGGAATAAATATGTTCGCTCCCACTGTACATCACCCTGCAGCAGCTCATGGCCTCTCATGAACCCAATGCCCACCTCCTGCACGCAGCAGCACCCACCCCACCCCATGCCGTCTCTTTCATGCAGACCCTCTCCCACTCCTTGTTTCCCTGCTGTGCCAAATGCCGGGTCAGCCCCCCCGCTGCCTCCCTCCCCTCTCCCTGGAGCCCGTTTCATCAGCCAGCCCCATAGCACTTCGTAGCCCCTGGGTGCTGGCAGTGCTCCAGAAGCATCACAGCCCCCTCATGTCCAAGGGCTCGGGCAACTGGGCGACCATGACCTGGCTCTGGCTCTCTCCTCCTACACCTTTTATCTTGGGTATCTTAGCTTTTATCTTACCTTATGCTTTTAAAATCTCTCTTATTGCTGTCTTAATGTGGGATAGACAGGGGTGCCAGAAGCTTTACCTTTTTCTTTTCCATCCGTGTCCCTGCAGGGATGGCTTTTCCCACCCAAAAGCCACCTCTGCTCCCCTGCACCACCCAGCAGCATCCCTGGCACCCAGGCTCCTTGTGGACCCCTCAGCTTTGCAACACCCAAAGTTTTCGCCATTTGGCTGCCCCTTTTCACAAGCTCTTAACAAGGTTTGTGCAACTGGCTTATTTTTTTTGAAATTCAACAGAACTGGGGGGAAGATCTCTTTTCCCTGTCCCATGCCGCCAGTGCCAGGACCGTGAGTCCCCCCTGGGGCTTGGGCAGACCCTCCCTCCCGCAGCAGCACCCCGAACCGCTTCCATGTGTTGCTTCCATTCTTCTACCCCATCACTCCTACCAACCCATCCCTCTCCCGACAGAGCTGACAGAGTCATCACAAGCAGAAAACGCTGCTAAGGGTGCTGAGCACCCTGCTCACCCAACACCCGGCCCAGGGCATCTTGGGGGTCTCCCCACTGGCAAACCCCCCCACTCGGCTTCTCAGCCCACACCCAGACTTTCATCTCAGCATATCAACTGCAAATTGCATTTAAAACTGCAATTAAAGGGTTTGAGGGTTTTAAATCGTCAGCTGTGCCGTCAGTGGCTGAATGCCTCGTTAGAATTAATAACGCCATTATCCGGTAATTCAATAGCTGTGGATTAGCCAAGCAGAGTGGCTGTCCTGGAGGAAGCTCCAGGAAAAGCCGAGGGGTCGAAGCGGGCTGGATTTCAGAGCCCCAAGGCAAGGCCAACTCCTGCGCTTCCTCCGTCCCCACTGCTCGGCTGCTGAGCCTTGCACAGGGGCTCCGGGGTCCTGCCGGGGTCTCTCCAGGGTCCCTGGGAGCACCCCCAGAGCATCTCCAGCAGGGGGGAGAGCCAGCGCCTTCAGGTCTGGGCACTTACTTTCTGAACTGCTCCAGGAAGCGATCCCGGTGGCCCTGCAGCGTATCCGCCGGCAGACCTGGAAGAAGCAGCAAGTAGAGGCATCACCGGGCAGCTCCACACCAGGAAGGAGCACAGGTCGGGGGACAGCCCATTGGCACAGCCACATGGGGATGGGTCTTTCACAGAGATGGCCACCCTCCTCCCAGGGTCTGAGAGCTCCGGGCTCAGTGTCCTGCTGCGGGAGGGGACCACATCCTCCCCAGAACACCCCCAGGGCAGGGGCAGGCAGTGAGCTGCTGTTCAGGCAGCTGCCACCCCAATTCGAGGTCCTGGGGGATGTGGGCTCTGCTGCCAGTGCCTGCCCAAAGCCAGGGGGGCTCCCGGTGGGCACTGTCCTCATGGCTGAGGGGTGTTTGGCAGGGCAGGCTACTGGGACAGCTCGATCCCCCAGCGCTTGCACCTCCTTGTCCCTTGCCCTGGCGATTCCCTCCACTCCTCCAAAAAGGAGACGGGGGGCGAACGGCCCAGCCTAAGCAGGGTAGTGACTCCGAATGTTCCACCCTGTGTCACCCCTCTGCCCAAGGTGGTGGTGCTGGGGACACTCACAGGAGTGGAGCTTGAAGAGCAGCTTGACGGTGTAGTCGTAGAGGTGGCTGCAGTCCAGGATCACCTGGATGAGCGGGGCCAGGCGGCACTGTCCCGCGGCTGTCACCGACACTGAGCGTGACATGTCCAGGGAGCTGAACACTGTGGGGAAAGAGCATGGGATCAGGCTCCGGCAGCACCACAGGGTGCCACGCCGTGTTGGCTGCATCCGCAAGCGTCACCTGGAGCAAGAGACCCACCGGCCCTCGGGGACCCAGCCTGCTGCTGCACAGGCACAGCCGTTTGCTGGCTCAGTTTGGGGGGAAATTCCCACTCGGGACACCCTTGTGAGCAGGGGAACAATTCAGCCTGGCACCGCGGGCTGGAGGTGCCTGGTCCTGAGCCCCAGCTGGGTCCCCAGGCAGAGCTCCCGGCCCCGCAAGGGCACGCAGCCCCTGTGCTCTGCCCATCGCTGCCATCCTGCTGGCATTCAGGGGTGCTGGGAGGTGTTCCAGAAATGCTGCCCACATCGCCTCGCATCAGACTGCGCCTTGAGCCGGGGCGACACTGGGCCGTACAGGGGTTTCTGCTGCAGCGGGGACAGGCTGGCCTGGGGCATGGGCTGCTGGAGATGTGCCCAGTGACTATTCCCCGTCCAGCCTTGTGGGTCCCCCATGAGCTGCGGGGCGCCTGCCCTCGAAGCATGCCGGTGCAGCAGGCAGCCTAGCGGGGCGGTCAGAGAAGATGTTGGCTTCATCTCCCCCCATCCAGTGACCCCCCTCCAACAGGCAGCGTGGCAGGAGCTCCCAAGAGTGTGCTGGGGATGGGGCTGCTTGGATGAGCCCCCCAGCACCGTCCCTGTCCCACTGCGCCGGTGTGTGACCACACGATGAGGGTGCTGCTCCAGTTCCATTGAGACAGCCCTGTCCCGCCAGCACCCACAGCCTGGTGCATGCAGCAGAGGGAGGCTTGCCTCAGAATTGCTTTAATTTACCCCAAACCTGATCCCACTCAAGTGTGCAGAGGTGCGCGACAGCCCTGAGGGTTGAGACTGGCTTGTTTCACCCCTCCGCTCACTTGTGCGGGAGGAAGGCAGGGTGTCCCTGCGCCCCCCCAGCTCCGGCACTGCCACAAACACCTACAGCAGCTTGCCTTTGCCACTAACAGAAACCAAAACCTGCCACAAGCCCATGAGTAAGATGAGAAGAAATGCAGCCTGGGGAGGCTGTCGGAGCTGGGGAGCCCCACATCTGGGTGGTGGAAGCACTGCACATGGTGGGAGTGGGGTGGGGTGGGGTGGGCACCCCACAGCACTGCCAGTGGGCTGCCATGAGGCAGCATGGCACGCAGTGCTAATAAAAATTGGGGCAAAGTGCCCAGAAAAAGAGATGAGCTGCAATTCCCTCAGAGAGCATCCTTCCCCAGAGCCTCCCCCAACGCAGCTCAGCCCCCAGGAACCCCCACCCAGTCTCCGGCCTGGCAGCGCGGGGGCTTACCTGTCTGGAATAGGTTCAGCTCACACTCCAGGTAGTCAAACATCTCCACCGTCAGCTGAAAACTAGGGAAAAGGGATGAGGATGGTTGGGGAGCGTCCCCACGGCCACCCATGGGCCTCCAGCTCTGCCAGGTGCCACCCCAGAGGGATGAGTGGGTGCTCCGGTGTGGAAGCACCCACCCCGGGGGCTCTGCCCGCTCCCAGCACCCGCAGCAGGGGTGGGGGAAGCTGCACGGTCCAAGCCCTAGCTTGGTCCAGCTGCCGGTGTGGGTGGGCAGCGCCTGCACCTGCCCTCCTCCCTCGCCTCACCCCCTCCCCGCACTCACAAATTATTGACATCGTTCTCCCCTGCCTCGTCAAGCTGCCGGTCGGACATCTGCAGATTGCCAGGGAAGCGGGGATTCTGCGTGGGGAAACAGGAGTCAGGGAAGGGTCTCAGAGCATCGGCTGCTCCGGCCACAGCTCTGGGAACACCAGGGCTGCTGATCCAGCCAGCAGCCTCAGTGCAAGCGACTGGGATGGCTCCGGACATGCTGAGGGAGTGATGCCGGGGGAGAGGGGGCTCACGTGAGGCCTGCTAAGCGCCGGGTGATCGCAGCATCTCCAATCCATGGCACCCAGGCTTACAAACCCACCGAGCAAGGAGATGGAGATTGTGCATGGCAGCACCGAGAGCTGGAGGGGAAGGAGCTGATATCTGCTCCAGGGGGCAAAGCCTCTTCATGCTGCCCAGAAGTTTTGGGGAAGGTCATAGTACAGCTCCAGACCAAATCGGGGTGGTGGGTGAAGCCTGGCTTCAGCAAACACCTCTTTCCAGCAGAGCTCAGAAAGGAAGGAAACCCTGCGGGTACCAAACCTGCCGCAGCCGGGCGGTGTGAGGATGAAGGTGCTCGAAGCCACGTGGGGCTTAAAGCCCAGCATCACTTCCCATCCTCCTCTTGGCAGCACACTGTTATTTTAATGCCACAAGCCTGTTCTGCTTTGTTCTATTCTATTCTATTCTATTCTATTCTATTCTATTCTATTCTATTCTAAGAAAGCACCTGCCTAAATAATAAGCTCCATCAACGTAAGCCCAGCTTCCTGAGATGCGACAGGGTACTTCTCCCTTTCTACAACCATGCTCCCCATCACCCTGGCAGCTGGCACGGGACGGAGCAGACCTGGAGCCGGACGATTCCGAGTGCATCCCCTCCAGAGGCCAGCTGAGAAGGGACCTGCACCACAGTGCTGCTCTGGAGTCTGAGAACAAACTGGTGATGGGGAAAAACCCCAATCTGTGATGGTCCCCTGGGATTCCCATGCCCAGGAGCATCCATGGCCCAAGAGCCCAAAGATGAGAGAGGAAAATGGACTGGGATACATAGGAGGGGCCGTGCACCCCAAAGCTGGGGGTCTCTTACTGTTTCTTGTAGACCCCCAAGTGGGGGAGGAGACACTCCATAAAGGAGAGCCCCCCTGCAGGGACATCTGGATGGTCTGGAAGAATGGGCTAGCAAGAACCTTAAGAAGTCCAACACGGACAAGTGTAAGGTCTTGCACCTGGGAAAACACAATCCAGGGGTGCAGCACAAGCTGGGATCCACCCAGCTGGGGAGCAGCTCTGTGGGAAGGGACCTGGGGTCCTGGTGGCCAACAAGCTCCACAGGAGTGAGCAGGGTGCTGCTGTGGCCAGCATGGCCAACAGGACACTGGAGGGCATCACCAAAGGCATCACCAGCAGGGATAAAGGAGTCATCATCCCACTATGCTCAGCACTGGTCACACCACACCTGGAATCCTGTGTGCAGTTCTGGTCCTCGCTGTGCAAAAAAGCTGTGGGCAGGCGGAGGGGTCCAGAACAGGGCCACCAAGGTGATCCAAGGGCTGGGAAGCCTCTCTCAACCATATCAGGATGGGTTGAGAAAGCTGGGTTTGTTCAGCCCTGAGCAAAGGAGGCTCAGAGGGGATCTCATCGCCACGTACCAGTACCCAAGGGGTGGCTACAGGGAAGATGGAGACTCCCTTTTCTCAAGGAGTCCCATGGAGAGGACAAGGGGAATGGACACAAGTTGCTCTTGGGGAGATTCTGACTGGACACGAGAGGGAAACGTTTCCCCACTGGGCCATCTTGTCTGGACTGGGCTCTTGCCCAGAAAGGTTGGACCAGGTGATCCTTGAGAGACCTTCTGACCTGGGATGCTACGGTTCTATGATTCTATGAACTTCCAGCCCAACCCAGGTGCCTCCAAGGAGCCCTGATCCACCATGAAACTGTCCACCTCTGAGGCTTGGTCCTTGGGCCACTTTTGGTCCAGGCTAATGATGGACCCTGGCAGCCTGGGACGTGTTTCATGGAGGCAGGAGGACAGCTGTGACAGAGGAGAGGACTCGCGGGGGTGACAGCACCGGAACAGCTCTGCCAGCCCCTCTCCTGCCCCATAACGTTGCCACTGCTTTCATCCCAGCACCCTGTCACCCACCCCTTGCTGCAGCTGTGGGGACGGGGAAAGGATGGTGCTCACCTTGGTGTGAAACTCCATCTTGGTTCTCAGCAGTTTGAGGTAGATGCTGCAGAGCTGCCCATAGCCCTCGCTCAGGTGGCCCTGGGGACACCAAAAAGCTGTTGAGACCTGGGGCAGGCTGTGGAAAAAGCTGCCTCCCCTTGCAGCGCGAGCGACCCCTCCCTTGTCTCCCCCAAAACCACAGCCAAAGCCCTCCTCGCCAGCACCCTGGCTACAGGCTGGCTTGCAGCAAACATGACAAAGTGATTTGGTCAGCACCTTCTCATCACCTTCTCTGCAGATTTTGACCATCAGAGCAGAGTTTTACTGCGGTTTGCCTCAAAATAGGAAGAAGGCATTTGATTTTGGTGGAATGTGACTGGCAAGCCCAGGTCACAGCCACCACAGCTCAGCCACGGTGGAGCATCTGCTTGGAGCCTGGCTCCTCCTGGGCCAGGCCACCATCCAAGCCACCAGCACGCCCAGCCCAGCCAGGGCGCCGGGTGCTGCTGAGGGACCCCGGGGTGTCCCTGCTGCGGTGGCTGGGGGGTTGTCCACTCACCCACATCCTGCTCATGTCGCTCAGCTCATTCTTGTATCTCACGGAGTCTTTCAGGACCTGGAGGAACGATGCCGGTAAGAGGCAGAGCACTGGGGCAAGCCATGCCGCACTTGGAGCCGGCAGTTGGGGTAAGGAACAGGAGGTCTGGAGGCGTTCATGACCCTGCATCCCACCAGCAGTCCCGTGACCCCCAGCGGCAGGGTGCTTCAGTTTCCCCAGCCGTACACAGGGTAGGAGGATCCCTGCTAATGGCTCCTGCACCAACACCGATGCCCATGCCAAGCAGTTTCCTCTGGTACTGTTGCCACAGTCAGCACCGGGGGTGCAGCACAGGGGGGTTGTGGGCAGAGCAGCACTGGGAAGGCTCTGCCAAAGCGAGTGGGGAGGGGTCCCCACACCAGTCCCCACCCTGGAGTGACCCCCAGGAGGGCGCCAACCCACCAGCATCTCCCACCGCCCCGTGCAGCCCCACAGGAGAAAGGGTTCGCCCCCAGGGCGGCTGCCGAGCCGAGCTCGTGGCACTCACATTTGAGTGGCCGTCCCGAAGGAGTTTGTGGAAGACGTGGCAGAACTTCCAGCAGAGCACGGCGTTGCCCGACAGTGGCAGCCGGTTCACCACTGACCAGAAGGTCTGTGCCCCCTTCTCGTGGTGCGTGCCCAGGATGCATGGTGGTGGCCCGTCAAGGAAACGCTCCTTGGTGGTGAGGGACAGCGGCCACCCCGACGCCAGCTGGTACCCGTAGAGCCCAGGGGAGCTGGGCTGCCGCGTGGAGCTGAGGAGCTGCCAAGCCTGGGCACATGCCGTCCCCAGGGGTGGCACACACCGTCCCCTCCCCTCCTGCCCCACACCACTGTCCGGGAGCACCGTGGCATGCTTGGGGCTGGGGCTGTGCCTCGGCTGAGCCTTCCTGGCTCTCCTGCCGGGATGCTGGGAGCCGCTTTTCGTGGCGGCACGCTCATGAGCACCTTTGGGGATTAAGCACCCTCAGCCCAGGGCAGACAACCTGCTGTGGGCATCTGTGCCTCCCGCCCTCCCGTGGGATGGCAGCGCCGGCAGCACGAGGCTGGGCACCCACCGGCTGCAGCAGCAGGAGCAGAGACCCCGTGCCACCCTGGAAAAACCCCAACCATCACCAAGAGCCCCCCAGGGTCCCATCCGGCTGCCCCCAGCACCCCAGCAGCTGGCTTGCGGCACTGGTCCGGCCACGCCAGCTCCTCTCCCCACGCACCGCCTCGACGCTGCCCCTTTTCCGGGCGGCCCCAGCCCTGCTCCCACGCTCGTTTGTCCTGCAGCCAGCTTCGGGAAGGATATTTCTGGCGTGTTTCTCCTTGACAGCCACTTCCTGCGCATTAATGGCCTTATTGATGCTGACAGTCTGCAAAAGAGAAGCGGGAGGGGGTGGGGAGCATGTGAGATGGGAAGGGCTTGGGCCCCCCAGGCCCCCCGAGACCCCCCGGCTTTGCCGGCACCTGTCAGTGGCTGGGTCCCATCCAGGGCCCTGGCCCTGGCTCGTGCCAGCTGGATGCTGCCCGCTGCCGGATGCCTTTCTGGGATGTGGTTGGCATCCGCCAGGTTCAGCTGCTGCCAGGATTCATTTACTTGGCATAATAACGATGCAATTAAAGCAGCAACCACAAAGGACCCTCTCCTGCCCTCGGGGCAGGGGGACGGGTAGAGGGAAGGCAAATCCCTCCCCTGCCCTTGGATCAGGGGCAGCAGCCGCTGGCTCCTGCTCCACGTTTTGGGGGTGCTGAGTGGCGAGGGCATTTCAGGGGGCACAGGGAATGTGGCAGCGGGATGGGTAGACCACCATAAGCTGCAGAGAGGAGCAGGACCGGGGCTGCCGGCTCTGCCTGGCAGCAAAGGACAGGTCCCAGCTTAATCAGCACCGACGCAGAGCGCCTTGGCAGTTGCGGGCGTTCTGCTCCAGCCCACTCACCCTGCGGCCGGGCACGGCCCCAGCTGCGGGATCAGAGGGGCAGGAGATGGACCCTGGCTGGGACCCACTGTCCCCTCCCCACCCCACCCCATCCCACCACCGACCAGTACATCTCAGCTCGGCCACTGGCGCGTCCAGACACGGCACAACCGGTCCCCATCGCCAGTGGCACAGCCCTGCCGTGGGGCAGGCGGCCTCTCCCCAGCACGACCCTGCCCACACGCTGCCCTTTTGCTCTCCACCAGGAAAGGGGAGGTTTGCGGTGCAGACACCGGGGACCTTGGGAAGCCCTGGCCGAGGGCAGAGCCAACGCCGCACCGAGCCTCCGGAGGGGCAGAGGCAGCCACTGGCAGCGCCTGCTGGGCAGGATTTTTAACCCTACCCCATTTCTGCCCCTTGGGGAGCTGTGCCAGCAGTGGGGGGACACTGCGGCCAATGCCAGGTGGGAGCACAGTGATGCTGGCACAGGGCTGCCATCTCCCAGGCTCCTGTGTTGCTCGCGGCGGTGCTGGGCGCTTGCCTGGAACCTGCTCTGTGAGGATCCCGCTGCCGAGGGAAGAAACCGTCTGGCTCAATGCTGCCAGCAGTAGCTAATTACTGATATAAACCAGTTAACTGCAATCCTTCTTGCACCCCTGCTTGCTCACCCTCTCCAAGGCGGCTCTTACATGCTTCACCATGACCGACCCCGAGGACTCTGCTGAGCGGGGCTGGGGGGACCCATGGGGCACAAACCCCACGGGCCCAGCCCAGACCCCCCAGCGCTGAGCCCACCCCACGGGGCGCAAGCATCCTGGTCCAGCGGCAGGCTGGACACGGACCAGAACCTGCGCCTTAGCCCGGCTTTATGGAGAGCTGAAAGGAACACTGGCGGTGGAGAGACGTGACTGCGACGAGCGTCCCTTCCCTAGGGCCAGATGGAGGCGAGCAGGTTCCCAATGCAGGAGGCCCAAGGGTGGGAGCCACCTCTGCAGCTCTGCCCGGCCCCGCGGCCGCAGCAGCCCCTTGCCATTTATGAAAACATAAAACAAAATTCAGCATTAAAAAACTCCCAGTGGTGGAAGCCTGGAGCGTGATGCTCATGGATACCTTCCAATGATCCAGCTTTAGGCCGTCACAGCTTGTCCTCATCCAAAATCCCAGCTGGCAGCCGGGATGGCACAGGCAGGCAGGACAGTCACGATGGGCCAGCCAGCACAGTGAGGAGCGTTTAAATGGGAGTCCCGGGCCATGAGTAAGAAGCCAACTGCAAAGCCAGAGCCAGCGAGTGGGAGTTCATAGCCTGCTCTCCTGAAGCCACGGCATGTGTCTGCTCCCCTGTCCTCGGAAGACCAGACAGGGGTGGTCTCCGGAGGGAAGCAGTGCCGGGGGCTTCCGCATCCCTGGAAAAGCTGGAAACAGAGCTCCTGGTTTAAGTGCTCTTTCCTGCCAGCTTTTCCTGGAAAAGCAGGGACAGATTTTTCCACCAGAGGCCTCCAGTGACCCTCCAGAGTGGGGAGACATGGTGGGAAGGTGACAGGAAGGTGACGGGGGGGTCTGGCAGCCCCTGGCTTCGGGCGGTGGCCTCCAGGATCCTCCATCCCCGAGCCCTCAGCTCCATTTGAAGCACACACGAGGTCCGTGCAGACGATGGGAAAGGTTTTCCAAGGAAAAGCTGGATCCCACGTTTCTGTCCTCGTGGATGCAGCTGTGTCACCCAGGAGGGCAAGCAGGGGTCCCATCCTGGGAGCCACTCAGAGCAGACACCGGGACTCAGGAGATGCCCAAACCGCTGCTCCGGTGAGCAAACCAGAGGCATGCGGGGCAGTGAGGAACCCCGGCTGCAAATGTCACCTCCGAGGGACAAACAGGAGGTCAGGGAGGGCGACCATGGTGCATGCTCCTGCCCATGAGTTTTGGCTGTGAAAATGGGTGAAGAAGGAGAGAAATTTGGAGCTGCCTTGAAAGAAAGCTCTGACCTCTTGGCCATGGAGCGCGTCTTTCACCCCAACCCGCAGGTGCTGCTTCCCACCACCACCCGGCACCGTTACGAGTTTCTACACTGCAAGGGCTGTTTGTAACCCACCCGGCTCCGGTTTCTGGCCAGCGGCAGGATGTCAGCCCCTGGTCCCTGTACCCATGCAGGCCCCAAAGGGCTCCTCTCCTGCTGCCACCCCCCCAGCGCCGGGAGCAGGGCAGGGGACCACGGCAGGCGCAGGGAGCCTGTGTGGGGCAGCCGGGCCCTTCCTCCAGCCCTAGATGCTCCCTGCCACCGGGGAAGGAAACCACGGTGTTTCCTCTTGTGCAACGCTGCCGAGGCAGCGGGGCTGGGAGGAACGCGAGAAGAGGCCGGCGGGGCCCCGTTTGCACAACAAGAGCTGCAAGAGGGGGGACATCACCATGCTGGTCTTCCCCAGCAGGGCCACGGGGCCATGGTGCGGGGCAGACCTCAGTGGGGCCATGGGTGCTCTGCCCAGGCTGGGCGAGCAGCATCGGCAACGCCGCAAGCACCGGCAACACTGCAAGCTCCTCTTGAGCAGAGCAAGGAACTCCCAGCGCCAGGAGCACGGCAAGGCTCAGGCTGTTTAGGGGGGAAGAAGAGGCAGGCAACCCAGAGCAGGGACTGCCCCGCCGTCTCTCCGCCCTGAGCAGAGGGACCTGCCCCAGCCACTTCTCCTCCCTCCGCAGCACCCAGGGGGTCCCCAGAACCCAGACCTTTTGCCCTGACTTGATACGGCCCTAGGGGAATTGAGAGGATTGCTGCAGGGCTCCAGGAACCCCTCAACCCTGGCTCACGTCAACTAAAACACCTCCCTGGGCGTGCGACTGCAGGCTCTGGACAGGGACAGAGGAGCCCAAAACTGCACAGAGAGACCCAGGAAAGCAATGGAGGCGCTGGAGCACCCAGCAGTGCTTCTCTCTTTCACATGCACCCCTTCACCCCCCTTCCAGATCTCCCCAAATTACACTCTCAGCCTCTGCATTGCAAATCTCCCACCCTGTGGCCAAGAGCTGAGCTCAGGAGCTGCACAACACCTTCCCACTTCTCCTCTTATTTCCGAAAGGAAATGAGTGTTGATTAAAGAATCCAGAGCTATTGCAAATTATTTGGAGAAACTGAGTAAGTCACGGTGCAAATCCTCTTAGTAATGCTCCCTCATTTCTCCTTAATTCCTTTCTATAAATGGAGAGCTGGGACGGAGCATACCTCCGGAAAACCGCTCGCAACCAAGCCCTGCAGACGCAGGGGCTCTGGGAGAAGTGAGCGAGGAGGAGACCTGAACACGACAAGCCTGGGGGGGGGCACGGGAAATAAAACCCTTGAGCTTAATTAAAATGCAAACCCCAGCCAAGCAAAGCTTCGCTCTGGAGGTGTGCAGGGCACAGGGGGGCGGGCAAGCTTTTTTGGAGGGCACGCGTCTCTTTAAACGTTGCTCGCCACCGGCAGCTAAAAGCAAAGCACAGCCTTGCTGGGTCTCAGGATCCTCCTGCCTCCATGAAACACGTCCCAGGCTGCCAGGGTCCATCATTAGCCTGGACCAAAAGTGGCCCAAGGACCAAGCCTCAGAGGTGGACAGTTTCATGGTGGATCAGGGCTCCTTGGAGGCACCTGGGTTGGGCTGGAAGTTCATAGAATCATAGAACCGTAGCATCCCAGGTCAGAAGGTATCTCAAGGACCACCTGGTCCACCCTTCCGGGGCAAGAGCCCAGTCCAGACAAGATGGCCCAGCACCCTGTCCAGCTGAGGCTTGGAAGTGTCCAATGTGGTGGAGTCAAGCCCTCCCCTGGGGAGATTATTCCAATGGGTGACTGTTCTCATGGGGAAACGTTTCCCTCTCGTGTCCAGTCAGAATCTCCCCAAGAGCAACTTGTGTCCATTCCCCCTTGTCCTCTCCATGGGACTCCTTGAGAAAAGGGAGTCTCCATCTTCCCTGTAGCCACCCCTTGGGTACTGGTACGTGGTGACGAAATCCCCTCTGAGCCTCCTTTGCTCAGGGCTGAAACCTTTCTCGAGATGAACCTCTCCTGGAGGAGATGCTGACACCACCAGCTCAGGTGCCAGCAGAAGGAGGACCAAGGCATTCCAGAGGCAGCCCCGAACCCCAAGAGACACCAGCATGGGAGCCTTGAGGGGGTGTTTGGGGACACCTTGCCCCACACCAGCCCCTGCTGCTCCCCGCACGTCCCACAGCACATGGGACACCCCAAACTGGAGTCACCGGGATGATGGCCACGAGCTCTGCAAGCTGTGTTGGAAGCCGATGGCATTGCCACAACGCTCTTCTCGGCAGAGCCCTGTCTTGGCCACCACACCCTGCAGCATCACTGCCAATGGGGCTGCTCTCCCAAGGCTGGGAGGATGATGACCTCAGATGGATGTCACCCTTGGCCTATGCTCCATCAGCGCTCTCCAGCACACGGTGATGTCTGATGCAGGCATTACGGAGGAGCTCTTCCAGCACAGGGGGTGCTTTCAGGGAAGAAACCACCTGGGCCGGGCCAGGGAGGGGTGAGGTGGTGCTCGGAGGTCTCCAGATCACAAGGAGACATGAGAGGACAGCAGCTGCCACCTGGCTGCCACTGAGGCCTTTGCCTCGTGAGCTATGGTACCGTCATCATGGTGGGAAAATTAAAGTAAGGTGAAGGTTACGAATCCTGAGTGTATCTGAACAGAGCAGCCTGAGGGCAGCAAGGTGGCATCAGAGGAGAGGTTGGGATCCACAGGGCAATGCGCAAGGACCCAACCCACTGCTCTTCCTGGCCTCCCAGGGAACCCAGCGAAAATAATGAGATCATTGCCATCATGAGAGCCGGGGCCGGACGAGGGCGTGCGGTCTGATTGCTCCTCCACCTCCAAGGCAAGCAAAGAGGGAGAGTGAAGGCCACCACCCACCTGATGTGGGGGGGTCCCAAGGACTCGAGTGAGAGGTCTGGTGCTGGGAGAGGAGAGCCGGGCTGGCCACCAGGCCAGTCACCTTCCAGGTAAAACTGATTTTAGGGAGAACAGCTGGCAAAAAGCTGCCTACAGAAGGAGCCAAACCTCACCAACAACCATCGGGGGGGGGTTGATGCTGTAAAACTCGGATCCCTTTGAAGCCTCCAGCTGAAATAACAGCGAAAAGAGAAGTCAGTGGGGCTGCAGGAGGGCTTGGGGCATGCTCTGGTCACCTCCAGCACAGGCCTCGGCTTCCCCCGCTGCAATTGGAGACCCTGGCACCAGACCCCGTCAGGAAGGGCCGGACCCGAGGAGGGGCAGAAAACCAGGAGGCTCCCCAGGACCCTGCACCCCTCTGCAGCCACTCCCCACGGAAAACTCCTCACTCACTTAATTACTGACACAGGCGCTCTGTCACTCCTGCCCCGCGCTGGAGCACTTCCTGCGAGCTGCCCCGTTAGCCAGGCTTTTCATTTAAGTGGGGATTTTACACAAAGATAATCTCTTCCAGCAGTGGTGATTTCTGTCCGGGGACGGAGGATGGCTGTGTTTTCCAGGGTCGGTTGTTCAGGAAGGTCCTCCAGTGCCTTCAAATATTCCCAAAAAGCTCCTGATGGTCCTGACCACAGTCGTCATCTTCCCACCAAATGCAAAAATTTGGGCATTTTTTTGGAATGGGAGGAAAATAAAGGAGCGAGGCCAGAGGATGCACGGAGCAGACGCCAGGAGCTCATCTCCGTCTGCGTGTTTTGGCGCTCAGCTGC